GCAAAGATATCTTCATTTTACCGAAGAGAATCGTCAACCACTCAGATTACAAATTTATTCTGATACATCTAATGAAGATTCAAATGAGTCTAAAATTAGTTTTAAAAATAAAAATGGAGATCTAAAAACTTCAGTTAATGCAAAATCTTTGTTGGAGGAGAATCGATCCATTAAAAGTAACGAAAATGATGAAAATCCACTTTACACACCAGCTCAAATACTCAGTTTAATATCAAAAACTTATAATAAAAAAGGACAATTATTATTAAACTTAGATGAAACAAGTAAAAGTAAAATACATTGGGATAATGAAGGTACAGTCATAATTGGTAATGAAAAAATTCCTGGAAGTAATATTGTTGATTTAATAAATGATTCACTAAGGCCCTTAAAAAGAAGTGATCCAGTAGGGTGGGATAGATTTGCTGAAGCATTAAAAGATATTAAATTACCACTTCCTTATATTCGAAATCCAAAAAGATGTGAGTTTATTAACCAACATCAAGAAAAAGATCTGAACAAACCCTCTGAGATTGAATTTCAAGAGTTTTCTACACCGAGCAGTAGAGATAAAACGTCTACAACTAAAATACGTAAAAAAGCTTGAGTGGGAAAAATGGACTCCGTACTAGAAGAAATTAACAGGATTTATATGATATATTTTTGGTAGTTATTAAAAAGCCATGAAGGTAAAATGTAAAGAAAGTAAAGAATGGTTAAAATCGTAAAAAACATACACATTACATAAACCCATTCGATAAAAATTCCCGCGTAATAGGTACATTCTATCAAATATTAATTAACTGTGGCAAGCTGATTTAAGTGATATGCGAACTTATTCTCAATATAATGGTGGTTTCAAGTATACACTTTGTGTTATTGATATGTTTAGTAAATGCGCTTTTGCAATACCAATGAAAAAGAAAAACTCAGAAACAACTAAAGAATGTTTTGAAAGTATATTTACTGAAAGTAATTTAACACCTACTCACATACAATCTGGTAAAAGTACAGAATTTGTTTCAAAAGATGTACAAAAAATACTTTAAATCCAAAGAGATTAATTACTAAACCACTAACAATCCTGACATTAAGGCCAGTATTGTTGAACGATTTTCAAGAACACTAAAAATGAAAATGAGGCGTTATTTCACTCATAATAATACTAGATATATAGATGTTTTACAAGATTTAATTATACTCTTATAATCATAGCTTTCACTCTAGTAGTAAGATGTGCCTATGTGATGTAAATTTCAACAATATTATGACAGTTTGGACTAATTAGTAGTAAGATGTGCCCATGGTAAATTCCAAAAATAATATGACAGTTTGGACTAATCTTTATGATCAACGATCAAACAAACTTTCTTTATTCTAACTTTTGTGGGTTATGTTGAATTAAATGTAAACATGTTTTCCAAAAAAGGATATGTATTGAATAATTATTATATCCTCAATTATTGATAGATCTCCATGAGTTGTTTATAAAATAACAGATTTACAAAATGAACCAATAGTTGGTACTTTTTATAAAAAAGAATTACGGAAAATCACTTACAACCCCACCTCATAATATAAAATAGATTAAATAATTGACAATTGTTATTCAAGTAACAGAAAAGAAGTATTAGTGAAGTGGAAAGGTTATCCAGATAAATTTAACAGTTGGATTTTAGCTTCTAGTTTAAAAGAAATATGAATAAAGAAAGTTTTTATTTAACTTTGCTCAGTAATAATTCAATGGAATACTTTCCTGATAACAAGACCACAAATTTTTCAACGATATTACCAAGAGAGATATAGATAACCGTATTTGCGATAATTGGCGTGATAGATATACCTCCACTACACAGGTTAGTAAATTAATGTTGTGCTACAAAAGAGTTTAACATGGAATAATTTCAAATTCTCCTTTAAATTAAAAAATATTACCCAATGAAAAAATCAGAGGCTTGTACACTCAATTTTCCCGATATTTCTTTTATTTTCTCTGCAAATACGACAACGCGGACCGCACCAACGGGCTGCTCGACTGTAAACACGAAGCGCAACGTTGCCACAGAAAATGCCGCAGTGAAATATTTTACCAATATTTGATTGGACTTTGGATGATTTTTATTTTGACAATTCGACAAAGCATGTTTGCCGCGAGTTGTTTGGATGATTTATAAGAAGAAGAAGTAGCTATGAAATTAGATGATGAATGGTCGGTTGGCGTTGTCGAGTTTCAATATCCATGTACCATGTTTACTGTTCAAGATCATGATAATGTTATATAAATTACAAAATCTATGTTAATGCCTAATTAAGATAAACCATCCATAGTGTATACTACAAAAACATATTCCAGCTACCAACTATGATAAAGTTGAGCATATTTTAAGAGTGTTAAATGGTATCGGAGAGAACTTGAAATTTCGCTATGATGAAATAACAAAATTTGTGTCTATTTCTGTTTTGGATAAAAATATAACATCCGTGACATTATCACCCAAATTAAGTTTACAACTAGGTTATGAACCAAATGAATATCTCCTAGAGAGAAATTTTGGAAAGTGTCCTGCTAATTTACACTTAGGGTTACCATCTCAACTATTTCTATATTGCGACATTATCAAACCTCAGATTATGGGTGATGTTATGACTCCTTTACTAAGAGTCATTTCATTAGATCCTACAATATAAATTTATGGTGCAAATAAAATGCACGTTTTCTCTCAATCTCACTACTTACCTGTTATACGAAGAAAGTTCGATACGCTGGAAGTAGTTATAAGATCGAGCACAGGACAAAAATACCATTCCAGTTTGGAACCGTGTGTTTTAAACTACATTTCCGAAAATTATAATAATGAATTCTCTTCGTGATCATCATAAATGTCAATATGAAAATAAATATACACATAAAGCTGGGTCAGGAGTTGGAGTATTATATAAGGATTCACCATACCAACGCGGTCATGGTATTGGGAGCTTCTTAGGGGGGTTATTTAGATCAGTTTTACCATTACTTTCAAGTGGTGCTCGAGTGATTGGTAAGGAGACATTAAGCGCTGGAGTAGGACTTTTATCGGATATGGTTCAAGCGCGTCCTATGGAAGCCTCAATAAAAGATCGTCTAAAGAGAGTTAGTACGAATTTATAACGAAAGGCTGATGAGAAAATTGATCAATGTAACATGACTGGATCTGGGTATAAAACTAAAAGAAAACGATTGACCTCGTTCATTCCACCATTAACTGCTAAATTGAAAGCTGCGAAAAAAACTTGGTCTAAAACCAAAAAATATCAAAGATATATTTTCAAATTAAATATGTATTTCCTTCATAATCATTCTTACGAGTGCGTTAAGTCAGAATTAGATTTGTTTGCACTACCGTCTAAACTTGATGTTTATTTAAACCAAAACTTGTTTTTTGGTTTAAAAAAAATAAACACCAAGTTTCAATTTTTCAGTTTTTCAGTTCAAGTCATTACGTGGTGATACCTAAAATACCTATGCATATCGAGCATACATGGAAATCCTATTAAACTATGCTCCTGCTGCTAATTAATCTCATCCCACTTGTAGTCTTTGGTATGAGGATACAGCAGGAAAAATGGATTCTACAGATGGTAAAAACATAGGATTTGTTAAAAGACAGAAATTGATTAGTGAAAGTAACGAAATAGAAATGATTGGTCATCTTCACGGTGACATTTTCAACCAAGATAAATTTTTAATTAATGATGTTGAAATGAGTGTTAAATTGGTTCGATCAAGAGAGAGTTTTAATTTAATTGCTAGGTCAAACGATGTAAAATTTAAAGTTTGCATTACGGACGCAACTCTTATTGTTCGACGAGCACGAATTAATCCAAGTGTATTACTCGCACATCAAAAAGTTTTAGCTTCTACCACTGCTAAATATCCTATTACTCGAGCTGAAGTAAAATTTTTAACAATTCCATCGGGTGTTCAAAGAAAAACTCTTGATAATATATTTTTAGGACAGGTACCCAAAAGATGTATAATTGGATTTGTGAACAATTCTGCATTTTTAATGGTTACCTTACTAAAAATCCATTTATCTTTGAAAACTATGGTATTAATTCTTTCAGCTTATATATTGATGGTCAACAAATACCTTCAAAAGCTTTGCTTTCCATCTTTTAATAATAGTTATTTACATCAGCATATCATACTCTATTCTCGGGAACTGGTATTCACTTTCTTAAAGAAAGAAATGGAATCTTTTATGAACAGTATGCCAAAGGTACTGTCTATTAGCATTTGACTTAACTCCTGATTTATCAGCGAACTCATCAGCTCATTGGAATCTCATAAAGTATGGTAGTGTAAGATTAGAAGTACGATTTGAATCCTCACTAATACAAACAATTAACTGTATAGTTTATGCTGAGTTTGATAATATTATTGAGACAGATAAAAACAGAAATGTTACTGTAGACTATAGTAGTTAATCCTTAATGCACCACCCTGAGTCCACGGGACTCACCACCACTTTTAAACAACAAAAAAATAGTTTAATTTTTAGAGTTTAGACTTGCTCTTTCTAGTACCTTCCTGCAGTGAGGCGCGGGATGCAGATGTGAACGGTCGCGTGCAAACGTCCTTCGGAAAGGTAAATATGATCGATTGTGAGTCCTAGGGACTCATGGTAGAGTGTTGTGTGACAAAAATAGATTTATTGACTTTTTTGTTTATCTATGTTAACTTTGTTTTAGGTTTTTACTATGGCATCTAAACGTAAAAGGATTGAATCGGTAAACTTTGCAGATGATTTAGCCTCAGATATCATAAATGAATGGCTTTTTTATAGAAGAGAGAGCACACGAGCATACGGTTCACCTGATGTTAAGTTACTACCGCCGCCCATGAACATCCGCAACACCAGAGGAATTTTTTGCAGGAGAATTGCAGGTGCGTTGCCGGTAGAGGAATTGCAGGTGCGTTGCCAGCCCTTTAGAAAGGAGTAAGTTTTTTTCTTTTTTGAATGAGGCTGCAAGAAGATGATTTACTGGGCGAAGATGAAGAGATTGGCGATGACAACGGCCATGCAGTTGAATGTATTCGTGAGCCACATTCCGATGACAAGGACGCCGTTTATATTTGGAGTGATCACGACACCGATTCCGAAAGCTCCGAGACTGAAGTACAGGATACTAACTTGGACAATGTACCAAGCACATGCCTGATCTGCTGATATGCCTGATCAACCAAGTACATCGCAAGCTGATATTTTACCGAGAGATCAGCGCAAATATTGCTATACTGCAAGTGTAGCAATATTTGCACTGATCATAAGAAACGAACAAAAACTGCTTATCTTTGCACTGTCTGTAAGAAGCCAATCTGCCTTACTTGTTCCAAAAAGATATGCCAAGAATGTGTAACACATTAGTATGTTAACCTATTGCACGTTTTGAAATTTTGTATAGTGCCATTATTAATTATTATTATTGTTAATTACCTCATAATGTCTTCTATAGGAATAAATATTTTATTTTCTCCAAGAGCTACATTTATTATTTCTTCTGTGAGTCGTAGCAGACGATTTTTGATGGCTTTTAATTTTAAAGTATTTATAAACTTACGAAATGTGCATGTTAATTTGAGTTTATCACAAAATTTTACCGGATATGTACGAATTATTGTGTTTGCTAGAAGTCTAATAAATAACAACAGAAATAACATCTTTCGTTTAGTTTTTATGTAAAAAATTAAAACATGAGTCCCGGGGACTCATGGTGGTGATAAGTGATATTTTAATTAGGGTGGTACATCAAGGGTTAAGGTTATAATCATCGATCGAACGTAAACGTCATGTGAACATTGTGCTCCCGTAATTTAATTGCTTAAAAATAGTTATTCAACTGTATCGTGTTAGATTTACCAAAAAAGTGGAGTAAACTGTTCAATACGTTTGTGAGAGTGTTATGAAGACATATAATACGCAAATTAGACTGCATTATTGTGAATCTTACGGTGAGCTACCCACAGCAATAAAACCGATATGTGCTATTTTATCCCAAAATATTACGAAATACATCTTATATATCCATTGATAAACTGTGACACAAATAAAAACAGAAATATAAAACAATAAATATTTTAGAAACTTAAAAACTTTGTATTTGTGATTTAAAGTGACGGTTGAAGAAAAATTTTCAAACATATGCAAAAGGCTCATAAGGATCGAATCTGTCGTTTCGTATTTGTTTGTAATAGAACTACTATTTTGGTAAACATATTAAGTAGTAGCGATGGCGTGTTGGCTACGCAGTCGAGATGGTCATTTGAGGTCGCAGGATCGTATCTAACCTGCACAATTTGACTTTTTGTGAGTGTTTTGCGTTTTAATTTGTATTCAAACTTAATATGTTGAGTAGTCAGAGAAGTGTATAGTTTAGTCACGCTCCTAAGTTATCGTAGAAAAAGTACTGTAATTGTGTTCGTAAGCATTAAAATCATACATAAAAACAGTCTTTGAACTGTGAACTATATGCATGATGAATAAACGGTTCTTGTTCAAGCGAATATATTATTGAAGCGAACTTTTATCATTATGAATTGTGAAGCGTGTCGTAATCGAATTACTGGCGAGGAACTACTCCGATGTATAAAGTGTATGACACATTATCATTATATGTGCCTGAACATAACTCAATCTTATTACAAGGCTAACCTGGGCGAACTGAGAAGGTCCTGCATATGTCCACTTTGCATCAACGTAACTAGGCGAAAGGGAAACAACTGCAATACGCCTGTTCGGAAACAACTAGAAAACAGGGATGAATCTAGCATGTCCTGCGAAGACCTTACGATTAGTGAAAACACCGTTGAAATTAGTCGACCAGTCATGAACACAGTTGAAAATACACCCACGTCATCCGGATGTACTTCCGATGCGAGTATCACATTGGACCAATTCTCGAGACTTATAGATTTTAAGTTGGATACTAAGCTGGAAAGCTTTCAAGCTATCTTTAACCAGAACAATAAGGAATGAAGTTAGTGATCAAATAGCCAAACTAAAATCCGAGTTCACCGTAACGACAGATTTTCTTGCGGAGGAGCAAAGGGACGTAAAAGCTGAACTTAAGACGTTGTCAGACAAGGTCCGCAAGCTTGAAGATGAAAATGTGCTACTACAATCCGAATTGTCCCAAATGAATGAAACTCTGCAGGTCTTAGACAAATCCTCAAGAAACTGCAACATTGAAATCCAGTCGGTACCCGAAAAACGATCGGAAAATTTATTGTATGTGTTGATGAAATTGTGTGAGGTCATAAATTGCCCTTTTGCTGAGTCAGACATAAAATCTATCCGCCGTGTTGCAAAGATGAAACCTTCGTCAGACCGTCCCCGCAATATTATTGCGACGCTGCACTCGGAACATCACCGCGACACTATCATCTCTGCAGTGCGAAGATTCAATAAAGCAAACAAGTTGTGTCCGCTAAACTCATCTCACATGGGCTTGGCTGGCGAAAAATACAATATCTACATATCGGAACACCTATCAGCTGAATGCAAGGCAGTACACGCCGCGGCAAGACAATGGACTAAAATTAACCACTACAAATTTGTCTGGATAAAATACGGTCGTGTCTATGTTCGTAAAAATGAAGAATCCCTTGCTATACTTATAAGAGACACTAGTTATTTATCAAAACTGTCGTCTAATAACCCTGTATAGAGTAGTCTAATTTGTTTATTTCTTTCATTTTATTTTTTCTTTTTGTAATCTGGTTAAACTCGAAGCATTTATTTGGTATCTTTTTACATATTTTTAAGAATGTACATATATTATCAAAATCTCAATAGAGCTAGAAGTAAAATAGATAGTCTTTATAAAAATTCTGAACTTTAATTACATTGATATGTACTGAAACAAATTTCGATGCTTCTGTATATGATGGGGAACTGTTTGACGAGCAATACAATGTCTTCCGTAGAGATCGCGATACCACTTGTATTAAAAAGTATAATAAAGACGATGGAGGCGGTGTCCTCGTAGCAGTTAAAAAACAATACTCTGCTGTCAGACAGGTCTCCTGGGAAAGCGAACTAGAGGATGTCTGGATTAGCATATTGCCACCTAATATTAATGGTCAGACAATTAATGTATGCGTTTGCTATCTACCTCCATATCTTAATAAAAATGACCTGTCAAACTTCTATTCAAATCTTCAAAACATAATCTTAAAATTAAATGAACAGAATTGTTTTGCATTATTTGGCGACTTTAATGTACCCAATGTCTCATGGATCCTGTCAAACGATGGCGGTATGACAGCTAGCTGCAATGAGATGGACTATAAGAGCGAACTGTTGTTAGATACTGTGGCACTGTGTGATCTGTCACAGTTCAACCCCATCCCCAATAATAACAATAAGATACCAGATCTTGCTCTTAGCACTTCTGAAAATATGACCATCACCAACGAGAAGACCTTATTAAAACAGGATAAACATCACCCTGCCTTACGGATCGATTTTCAAGACTCAAATTCCCTTAATTATAAACCTCTAAAGGTCAATGAGTCAAAGCGGCTAAATTTCTATAAATGCCAATACAAAACTGTAAAGCAGAGAATCAATAATACCAACTGGTCAGATCTACTTCGTGGGGCAGATGTAGATGAGGTTGTGGCTAGGTTTTACGATGTGATCTACGAAATTATTAATGATTGTACTCCCACAGTTAAAAACCGCTCAAATAAATATCCCAAATGGTTCAGTCCTGGCTTGCGTCGTTGTATGCGGGAAAAAAAACAAATACCACGCGCGCTACAAAAAATACAAAAACCCACGAGATTACGATACATCCTCTCTCCTTCGAGCTAGATGTAAAAAACTCATAAACTGTTGTTACAATAAATACATCAGATCTATCGAAAATGGTTTAAAAAGACGTTAAGTCGTTTTGGAGTTACATTAACAGCAAAAGACGCAACAACTCGAATATTCCCGACTCAATGACATTTGGTGAAATAACGGCTGCTGGTGGTAAGGAAATCTGCGATCTGTTTTCAGAATTTTTTCGGTCAGTATTAGAAGATCATATTCGTGGATCGGGTGTATCCGTATGTTGTAGTCAAACAAATCAAAGTCTTCTTACTAAAATCGTACTCACTGAGAACGAAATATTAACAAAACTGAGGCATCTTGACTCCAACAAGGGAGCCAGCCCTGATGGCATACCACCTATATTCCTGCGGGTATGCGCAGATGAACTGTGTCACCCGCTTCTGCTAATATTTAATAAATCACTGATTAGCGGTGTTTTCCCTTCTCGCTGGAAAAAAGCTAACGTTGTCCCCATATTTAAATCTGGTGACCGAGACAACTGTGAAAATTATAGACCGATAAGCATTTTGTCAGCAGTATCCAAATTATTTGAATCAGTAGTATTTGATCACCTCTATTTTCATTTAAAACCTCTTATATCAAATAAGCAGCATAGATTCATCAAAAGGAGATCGACAGTCAGTAACCTTCTTAACCTCAAAACCTACATATGCGATGCTTTTAACAACCGTGGTCAGGTAGATGCCATATATACCGATTTCAAAAAAGCATTCAATAAAGTGGATCACGCAATTTTATGTAAGAAACTCGAGTCACATGGTATACATGGCAGTCTGTTGCGTTGGCTCGAGTCCTACTTGAGGAACAGGAGTCAGCTCGTAACCGTCAAGGGGTACACATCAGAAGAAATCCTCATTAAGTCCGGTGTTCCACAAGGATCCCATTTAGGCCCCTTACTTTTTGTGACCTTCATTAATGAGCTCATTGAGAAAATTCAGTCCCATTGCCTGTTATACGCTGACGACCCAAAAATTTTCAATAGATTTGGTGGAGCTGATGACACTCGCATCATACAGGAAGACTTAAACAGCTTGTCTAATTGGTGCAGAGAAAATAACATGTTCCTTAATGTCAAAAAATGCTTTGTCATCACCTACACACTTAAAAAAAACAAGGTATTAAACAATTACATCTTAGAACAACAAACTCTATCTCTTGTGTCGTCTATTAGGGATCTCGGGGTCGTGTTTGACGAACAGCTTAGTTTTCGCCAACATTACGATCTCATAGCTAAAAAAATCTAACCGGGTACTAGGTTTCGTTACTAGACAGAGCAGGCACTTCAGGAATCCACAAAGTTTAATTTTGTTGTATAACAGTATGGTTCGAAGTAATTTAGAATATAGCTCAATTATATGGAATCCATACTATGCAGTGCATTCTGAGCGCATTGAATCGATCCAATCCAAATTTTTGCGTTTATTAAGCTTACGTACTGGCAATAATAGAAGACTCCGGTCATATGCTGAGAGGCTTAAAGAGTTTAACATGATACCACTTCACCTCCGTCGCGACGAATTGGACCTAGTCAACCTACACAGAATAATACACTCGGAACTGGATAGCCCCGAGGCCTTGGAACTGTTAAATTTTAACATAAAACACAACCCACGTAGACCTATGAAAAAATATTTGACATACCCCTATCTCGAAATAATATCTCTCGAAATCAACCCCTATCAAGGTTATGTCGACTTTATGAGGATTATAGCCTTCGCTTTACCAACCTTGACATCTTCAACTCTAGCCTGGTTCGCTTTAGAAATGTTTTGAAAGACATTCTCAAGGACATCCCCGTCGATTGATATTCATTATATTTATAGTTCTTGATTTGTTGGAATTATGAGTCTCTTAGTTTAAGCAATTTTATTTAAAATGTTTGTTTCTCAATCTTAGCATGCCGTGATAACACGTATAAGGATTATGTCTTGTATCACACCATTATTTTTGTAAGTTATAGCTTTAAGTCGTGGTGTAATCTGTTGTGTTATGCTATAACAAATAAATAAATAAAAAAATAAATAATGTGTGTTGTGTGTTAGATTTTATGTGTTATGTATTTTGTGTGTATGTAACTATGTGAAACGTTATAAAATTAAATAAAACAAATTGTATGTAATATATTATTTTTTATTTCTTTATAAATCTTCTATTTAATCTAATACAAAACACTGTTCGACTTTAAATTTTGCATAAGCACACTGACTAAACCACTGAACATGCTGCTGCCAAGGATCATAATCATCTTCCCAATCTTTTAAACCACCACCACAATGGAAACACTTGGTCCTGTCTGCATGGCCAGTATAAAAGAAACCGGCTTCTGCAAGATCTTCAAATTTCTGTCGCATAACGAGAGGTCAGTTTTCGAAACTAAGCAACCGGCTAGATTTTGAACTGAAGAATGGATATTCAGCTCTTGAGTACTGCATATTCTTCTCGTTTTCTTCTCCACTCAGTGTTGTAGTTTTGTTATTCAATGATGTGTTCTGTACACGTATGCCACACTCATCTCTTCCTTCTGCTCTTGTCTTCCTGTAATTTAAGTAAACAGAATCACATTCACTAATGATCAGCTAATGACTGTAATTGTTAAAAGAGTATTTTTTAAAATTTTCACTTTCTGCTATTGTCTTTGTAATATTGTATACGAGGGTGTTTGTGTTGTTATAGATGCTATCCTTATTAGTCTTAAAGTAATATTTAATCCTCGTGGAAGAATGTTTCCAATGATCAGTAGTTGTAATCTTGGATAGCTTCTTCATATCGTACATTTCAATTTTGATGAGATGCGTCGCTTGGTCTCCGTCGCCAGAATTAGTAGAAGTGTATGATACACCATCTCCAGCGGCTCGTGCAACGGTTGATGATAACAGCTTCCTCTTTTTATTTTTGATTCAGCTTCAAAAAATTATCAATCGATTGCGATTTTCTTTTGTCACCATCGCATGTGTTATTATTAATGACGATGCCAAGACTCTCTTCTTGAGGGGAGAGTGGCGAGTAGTAATACTGTTTATAGGTATTTTCAACAAAGCTCAATGATTTCTGCAACAACATAGTTATCATGTTAATATCAATTTGTTAACACTTAATCATAAAAGTTAAAAAAGTTAAAGTTACAGCCTATTAAATTCCACTGCTGAACATAGGCCTCCTCTCATTTTTGTGAGGTTTTTAGGGCTAGGAAATGTCTGCCGCGCTGCCTCAATGCGTGATAGCGAACTTCACATGCCTTCGAAATTTTCTCAGACATGCAGGTTTCCTCACGATGTTTTCCTTCACCGCCGAGCACGTGGTAAATCAGCACTTAAAATAGCAATTAACAATTTAACTGGTTCCGGCGGGGATCGAACCCGGGTCGCGTACTGTGAAATTTATAGCTTACGCTAACCATCTGAGCTACCACGGTTTAATCATAAACACACACAATATTTAAATATAATTTGTTAACACTAAATCATACAAACGTAAGAAAATAACAGAAAGGAAAGTAAGTTTGTCAATAGAATAAACACTTACATCCATGGCCTTTGATGCGTTGACGTAACACAAATGTAGTATTGATAGATCCACTGCGGTCAAACGACCATACACTAACTCCATTACAGCAGCGCCGTGGTTTTATATAGCACCAGTAAGTAATAATTCTAATCTAAAGAATTTCTGCAGTGGAACTGAGAGTAACTTTATGCGACAACAAGCTGATGTCACATTCTGTTGCTTATCTCAACATTTCTTCGTGTTGCGTCTCGTTCGATGTATCGATGACTCAAATAAGATTTGTATAATACAAAAGAATGCAATTTATTATTTAGAAATCAC